TGAAAAATGCAGTTCAAGATTCCAAAATTAAACAAAATTCGATAGGACATGATTACAAACAAACGTTTAAAAAATGGTGACCGTATGTCAAGTAACATCTGGCGTTTCTCTGATGCTCCATAAATCATACAAACAGCCAACGCTGCAGGTAGCAGAGGAAGCATCTTATCGATGTAGAGCACAAAAGAAAATGGTTTTCATGAAATGTTTCACAAGTTCCGAGTAGCATATTTTAGTCACATTTCCAAGAAAGAGCTTCAATCACAAAGATCAGAAAAATATTCCTTGCTAATTTTCACAGCAGTGCAACCCATTTTTTACAGCCCAAGAGTAAAATGGAAAAAATAATTGACACTTCCACTTTGAAATGCACGACAATAGAACACAGTTTCAGACTCCTAGCGCAGGCTGTGACAGATTACACATCAGCTACAACTTGATGCTTTGAGGTATTAATGGGCAGATTCATCATAAAGTCTGATTAGTTGACCTCTAGCCAAATGTAAATATCAGCCAGATTCTGATATCACTCAGTAATTCCCAATCTCTTCTGCCAAGTAGAGTTTGAGTGACCATGAGATGTAGAAGGAGAATTAGGCCATTCAGCCTATTGAATCTCATTCAATGAGATCATGGCTAATCTGATAATCCTCAACTCCACTTTCCTGCCTTTTCTCCATAAGCCTCAATTTCCCTTCCTGATTTAAGATTGTCTCTCTCAGCCTCAAATATACTGAATGACCCAGATTCGAAAGCTCTCTGTGGTAAAGAATTCCACAGATTCACCATGCTCTGAGAGAAGAAATTTCTCCTCATCCCTGCCTACAATGTGTGACCCCTTATTCTGAGATGATGCCCCTTGGACCTAAACTCTCCCACAAGGGGAAACAAAATTTTCACATCTACCCTGTCAACCCTCTAAGAATCTTGCTCGTTTCAATGCTTTTCATCCTTCTGAACTCCAATGAAAACAGCCCCAACCTACTCAACCTCTCCGCCTAAGATAGTCCCTCCATACTTGGGATTAGCCCAGTGAACCTTCTCTGAGCTCCAGTGCCAATATATCATTCTTTAGGTAAGGATCAGAGGGACTAAAACTGAAACCACACAAAGAAACTTCTGTCAGTAGGGCACCCCTTTAGTATTACAATGGAATGTCAGCCTGGATTTGCGCCCTAAAGGCTAGAGGAACAAAGAATAGATCACAAAAAGCAGTTAGCAGGAATCACAAATAATTCCTAGGTAAGGAAATTTGAAAGAATGGGGTTGAAATCAAAAATAGATGATTCACATGGACTGCAAAGTACAGAGAAAGGGTTTAATCCTCCGAGGAGTTAAATCCTCCTGAAACCTTAATTCTGTTCTATTAAGAAGAAAATGATTGTAAAAAATACACTAAAACCTGACAGGGGTGTATTCTGCCACACAGGGGGAATAAAAGATACCTGAATTCTCCTGTGTACTGAATGCTTCATTATCTGACCTGATCACCGTCCGCTACAGATACGTTAGAAACATCTGACAATGTGCAGCAAAACAGCGAATTTATCAGGCCAACATGTGGAAACTGGATCATTTTGCAGACTTGCACATCCTTCTATTCCGGCAAGATTATTAATTTATGTGATTTTCTTTAGCTGTACCTTTGTCGAAGGACATTTATTTTTAGTTATAACTGAAGGAAAAAACCTTTTACTTGCACTTTCTACCCATAATTCTTCAATTTGTGGAGTTGTCGCATTAAGGACAAGATGACAAGAGGGACTCACTCTCTTATTCATGGCATTCATCACTGTAAACATCTTCTACAACCTCACCGAGATTATTTTGTTGCACTTTCCTCTTGCAGTCTGTCTCTCCTTCATATTCACCTTGGTTCCATTCTGTAAATATTTCCTGTCCCACCTGGGTTATCTTCTCGTTGTTTCTGTGCTCTGATACTCATTATTACAACAGGCCTGAACTACTCTTAAATAAAACACAGATCTAAAACAAACAAAAACAAAGTTAGCATTTCAAGGTGAAGGACTACAGTTCTGAAAAAGAGTCATTCTGAACTCGAGATGTTAACTCTGTTAACGTAGATGTGCTGAGTTTCTCTGGCACGTTCTGTTTGTGCCTGTTGCTGAGATACCCTCAGTATCCTCTCAGGATGAACGCACAGGGCTTTTGTGACAGCTCACCTGTCCAGCTTCGGATTCTTTGCTTAACAAAGTACAGGCTTCTTCATAGGGAGTGTCAGGGAGGTTAATGTGATGGATTCCTAGGATGAGAGGATTCTCATCTGAGCAATGATTGGGCAGAATGGGCATATATTCTCTGGAGTTCAGAAAAAAATTGCAAGCTAAGGATGAAATTTTACAATCCCTCTGTTGGCATCTTTGGAGGCACGAGGCTTCATAAAATGGCATTCCTCAGTATAATACATTGACCACTAACGAAACATACAGCAGGACTACTCCACAAATCCATTACAGAGATTACATTATAAATGTCAGAGAATAGCTATAATGGGGAAAGTGGGTATAATGGGGAAGGTTGAATGACCCGTATACAGTAATAGTGTAAGGGGCAGTGAGGAAAATGTGTTCTTAGTTGGCTTTCAGGAGAATTTCATACAGCAGTATGCGTCCAGCCCAACAAATAGGGAAACACTGAAATATCTGGTCCTTGGCAATGCGGTAAGCCAAGCAGAGAACATTTAGGGGACAGTGAACATTGTACCACTTTGAGGATTCCCCGTGTCTATTGGAAACCTGGCCCCTTTAGCCAAGCTATCCCTTCATGGCCTCTTAAACCCAACCTCCATCACTGACCACTGCCAGGCAGGACCTGCAGGGGTCCCAGACTTGCCTTCAGTCCAACCACCATTCGCTTCTTTTCATTGGGAACAGTCTGTAGTCACCACCCAAATATGGCATTGCTGGAGCTGTGGAGGATGGCTAGCAGTTCTCAAGGTTGGCCATTTATTCCTCAGGTTGGGGCAGAAGTCAGGTCTTTAGCCAATCAACGGTCTTCTGAATGTGAAATAGTTGCTGGGCAGCTGGTATCAGTGCTGATGAGTCCCTAATGACACTTTGGGTGGCGAGATGAGAAACTGTGCCATCTGAAAAATCCTGCCCACTACAATCTTTGAGCACGTGGCAGGGTGAATGTCTCTGGGTTGGAGAATCTAAACTAGTTGCCAGATTCTCAGGAGAAGCAGTTACCATTTCGGACTGAGATGAGGAGATGTCTTTTCACTCAGAGGCTGGTGTATCTTTGGCCTTTACTGCTGAAGAGATTTGTGGGTGCTCGGTCACTGGTCATGTTCAAGGCTGAGGCCAATAGATCTGTGGGCACATGAATATGCGGATCGAGGCAGGAAACAAAGTTGAGATAAAAGATCAGCCATGATCGTCTGAATGGCAGAAAAGGCTGCATATGTTAATTTGCCTAATCCTCTCCTGATTTGTTATGTTCTTATAAAGAATAGCATGAAACCAGCAGATCAAAATCAAAGGAGTGATAGTAAAATGACACATTCACAAATCCTTGCACAGTGCCTATCATTCTCACCGTAGTTTTAGTGGCTCCTGTGAGCTACAGCAGATGTCATTTACAGACAAATTGTCAACACACTGAGAGAGTACACTTCCAACAGGTACCCCTGCTAGCCCAGCATAATAACAACAGGCAAACTATGCTTAAGGACGAAGGGAGAGGGATTCAGGATTTTGAACCAGCCACAGTGAAGGAACAGTGATGTATTTCAATGTCAGAATGATGTGTGGCTTGGAAGAGACCACAATGTGGCTGGTGTTCTTTATTATTTGAAAAAGCAAATCATAGCATTGAACATGCAACTTAGAAATGACACAGCACAGTGGCTCAGTGGTTAGCACTGCTGCCTCACAGCACCAGGGACCCAGGCTCAGTTCCAGGTTGGGTGACAGTCTGTGTGGAATTTGTACGTTCTCCCTGTATCTACATGAGTTTCCTCCGGGTGCTCTGTTTTCATTCCACAATCCAAAAATGTGCAGGTTAGGTGGATTGGCTGAGGGAAATATAGGGTTGGGATGGGTCTGGGTTGGATGCTCTTTGGAGGGTTGGTGCAGACTCAATGGGCTGAATGGCCTGTGTGCACACAATAGGCATTCTATGATCCTCAAGAACTAGTCTCAAATGTAAACCTGTATAGCTCCTCTCAAGAAATCATTCTCATCCTGATGGACAGAGCTTATTGTGTGATATGAGGTACTAACTGCCTTATTTTACATTAGACACTTTTACACTGTGATAGCAGTCCATACCATCCACAAGATACTTGCAGAAAGTCACCAAACACTTACGACAGCACTTTACACACCCAACAGCCATAATTTTAATGTAGCTAAATAGTCATGTGTACTTGCCCTTAGGTCTAACCTGAGATTTCACAAGACACTCTCATGTAGCTCAGATGTAATGCAACTAGCTATTAAGTACTATATGATAAACATACTCTGTTCAACAGGAACCAAGCCTCATTTCTGCGTGAGGTCTGTGATTGGTGACAGGAAGGATTGGTGACAGTGAATCTGCCCAAAACATTTCAGATGGTATCGGTGGACACAGCTACAATATTTAAAAGTGGAGGGGGTTAATTTATGGTAGATATGGTGCCAAACAAGATTTGTCTAATGGTGTCAAGCTTCTTGAGTGTTGTTGGAGCTGCACTCATTCAAGCAAGTGGGGAGTATTCCATCACACCCCGACTTGTGTCCTGTAGATGGTGGACAGGCTTTGGGGAGTTAGGACGGAGGGGGTTACTCGCTGCAGGATTCCCAGCCTCTGACCTTGTAGTCACTGTGTTTATGTAGCTGCTTGCAAGTTCCAAAGTTTGTGAAGTGGTTACATTCTGGTGCTTAACAGTTAAATTTGTAATTGCAAATTACTTCATGACTGACAGAGTAACACAGAACGGGTGGGCAGTTAAAAGAAAGATGTGAAATCACTAACAAATCCATCTTGTACACAAGCTGACAACTTCACTTCGAAGATGCATGGGCTACAAGCAGCTGGCTCCATATTCTTTACCTAATTTGTATCCCACCCTGGAAATTCGCCTTGAATCAACGTGAGTAATTTTTATTTCTGACATTGTGTGACGCTAATTATTGTACATCAGTCAATAACAGACTTCAGAACTCAGTAAAAATGCTCTTTTCAGTACATTTTTTTTCAGTTGTCAATCATTCAAAGAGCTGTAAGTCAAAGGGAACATCTGACAGTATCCAAGCTCTTCACTAGTGTCATAAAAAGATTCAATTCCACATTGATGTAAATTTCCATTAGAAGTTACAAAGTACCTACTTGAAGGAGTTTTATCTTGTGTAAGGGAAGGTATGGTTTGTTCATATGTACTTACAAAACAAGAACAGGAGTTGTCATTTGTCCCCCAGCCCTGTCAAGCCAACTCCCTTTTTCAAGATGATTGTGACTGCGATAGGATGAGGGTTAGCGGGTCTCTCTCACACACACCCCTGATGACCTCTGACCCCCATCAATGGTGCTACTGCGGTGATTTGAGGTGGTCTGTGTCTCACCCATTGACCATCTGTAAACTTACACCATCTGTTCGTACCCCCCCATATCACGGCATCAAGTTTGGTCCCGCCCTCATCTAAGAGTTTCAATGATGAGAAAGTCTGGCCCACCGGTGCAAACAATAAAAAATCCAAACCTGCACATTGGATCCCACAGTGCATTGCTAGGGATGCAGTGGGATAGTGGTAATGTTGTTGTCTAATCTCCCCTCAAAGCTCTCCTTATGTCCTGGGAATTTGGGTCCAAAGCCCTCCTTGGCAGCAGGTGGAATATAAGATCAACTTTTAGGAATTTAAATCTGGAATTATAAACTGGCCTCAGTAATCTAATAGTGAATTCATGGATTAAAAAAATCAGCCTGGTTCACAAATGCTCTTTAATCACTAATGCACTTTAGAGATTCCTTACTTGCTCTTGTTTTGTCAGGGTCTGAAAGGGTTAATATGGAGGCATGCCTTTAGCACTGCCTACCATGATGACATCATGGGGACTTGTGGGAATAACAGCTTCAACTCTCAAAGGAGTGAGCTCCAATATCCAGATCTGCCTCACAGCCTCAGCAAGAAGGTCTAGTATATCAATGTAACCTGGAACTGCTCGCAATAACCTATTTCTTGCTCAATACGAGAGCCTCTTCTAGTTAGACCAGGAAGTGGTCTTCCTCGACCACAGTGGACCCAGCTTAGTAGACCCCTGCCCTTAAGAGGATGATGGCAACAAAAGCTCCCATATATTGAGGTGCAAGCTTGGTTTGGCTGTGCATGCACCAGCTCCAAATGATTTATTTAACGTACCTGAAATTTTTCTCCACGATTGCACATGGCGGTGTCCTGGAGGCTGAACCAGAATTCTGAATACTCCAGGCCAATCCTTCAGGCTTGCAACTCGACCGAAAAGTGACTCAAGTCCCACAACAATGTGATCGCTTTAGAACAGTACAGCACAAGAACAGGCCCTTCGGCCCACAGTCTAATTAACTGCCTTCTGAAATGGTTCGCTCCTGCCCTTAGCTCTTACGTTCTTATTATATTCCTTCCTCCCACTGAAACCAGAGCATGTGGTGGAGGTACTGCTGGTGGAATTTCTCCAGTTCTTTCATTTGTCACTGATACATAGTCCAAGTCTCACTGCAGTACAGGAGTGCAGACATAACAACAGCTGTGTATATTCAGACTTATGAACAAATGCCGGTTTCTCTCTTGAAGCCAGCTCCACATTCAGGCAAAACTCCTGGAAAAGGAGCCTTGATAGGTTGTCTGGAAGTTGAAGAGCATCTCTACCACCAGGTCCTGTTTTGTTAACTCTCAAATAGCCAAGGCAAGGCAGATAAAACTCTACAATGACACATCAAAAGGACATCAATTTGTCCATCAAACTGTGTCACCCTTTGAGTCCAAAGGCCTTTAACGATGAGGCAGAGCAGTGACAGCAAAGGAAACGGGAAAAAAAGCAAATCTTGCATCTGAGGTTCCACGTCCCCATGTGGGACATCCTGCCCCATGTACCTAAAGGTCTGTGGGTCAACAATCAACCTCATCACTCAGATGAAGACACACAGCAGAAATTTCTGACCCCGAGCTGACATCTTCCTTGAATCAAGGGACTGCTGAAGACAATCATTCCAGATGTTAGAATTTCTATCTGGGCGGGGAATGGCCTTCTTCTGGCACGATGGTAGTGTCCCTACCTCTGGACCAGGAGGCCTGCATTCAGGTCCAGAGGTGTGTAATAACATTTCTGAACATGTTATTTAGAAAAATAGGTTAAATTAAAGAAAATGTAATTTCTGTCTGGTGGAGGGCTCTTCCAGTAGAGTGGTAATGTGCAATATCAATTTCAATGTCCCTAAACTCATTCTTTTCAGAATTGGCTCAAGAGTGACCATACTCAGGCCAGTTTGGATCATGGCTGGACACTTTTTACATATTCTTCAAACCCCTAGCTCCAGATTACTTTCTCTCACAAGTTAATATGTACTCCAGTTGATTGTGACACCACACATGTCATTAGGTGTGGCCTCAAAAGAAATATGCTCTAATAAGTTTGGAATATTGTTACTTTATATGTGGGGAGAAAAACAATAATTTATCAGAATTCTGCAGTGAAATTTATAAAGGGGAGCATGGTGGGAAATCCACGCTGTGTTGCCTATTTAAAATACATTCCCAAATTTATTTTCAGCATGTTTATTGGTGTAATTAATTTCTCCTGCACTAACTCAAACTCCCATACCTTAGAAAAATGGGATAATGTTTTACCCTTCAAACGTTTAGCCAAGTCTGAAACAATATTTTCAGCAAATAACGGTGATAATAATCAAGGACCTTTTCTCACAAGATGTCTTTAACGATCACTTAAGAGTAAGTTTTAAGCAAGAGAAAATAATCGTAAGTTAACATTTCTCTTCATTGTCCTCTCGTTGATTTAATAACGGTGACAATAATAAATCAACGAGAGGACAATGAAGAGAAATGTTAACTTACGATTATTTTCTCTTGCTTAAAACTTACTCTTAAATGATTGTCCAAAGACATCTTGTGAGAAAAGGTCCCTGTCTTTAACTTTCCTTTGATACATTAAAAGGCTTTGAGCATTGCCTTGATTAATCTGCATGTCGATAGCAGGCAGTCAGAGCGACAGACTTCAGATTAGGGATATTCCACTGAGCACTAATAGACACAGAGAACAAAACAAGAATATCAGTCATGCCTTTCTTTTCCAGTCAGTGAGTCCTCAGCCCTGGTCCTATTGATGAGCAACTGGAATAATACTGAAATGCAATTTAAGATCAATTCTTCCTGGTTATGCTGCAACTCAGAGTGAACAAAGGAGAAAGAGAGGAATTAAAACTGAAGAGAGTCAGTGAGTGGGAAGAGAGGGGGCGGATAAGTCCCTGAGAGGTAGCAATATAGAGCAAGTCTGTCTGAAAATAGGAATTCCCAGCTGGGATAAAACCTGTGGTGATTTGTACTGTAACTTCAGGAGATGCATTCACAACTTTCGGATACTGTAAGCAGTAGCTCAACAGCTTATTTCAGCAGAATGCCACGTTTCCTACTGGGATCAAAGTGAATTTCGCATAATTTGCCAAGGCATTGACATTGTGTGGGTCCATTACTCCCCCACTGTCATATCTCAACCAGCCCCTCACATCAGCAGCACAAGGAGAAATCATCTGCACATTGAGATATCACAGCCATGCTGTAAATAAAACAAAAAATGACCAGGATACCCCGTTACAATCGTCCTTGAATAATGCATAAATACTGAGCTTGGAGTCTTAATCCTCACTGAGTCAGGAACTACATAAACATCATTAACAGAGCAATTTGTCACAATTTTACAGCGTTAGCAGAGCCATGTAGTTCTTGATGTAATCTACTATAATAGATGTATAGATGTCCTTACTTGAGGAGGGAGGCAATCATTTGAAGATAGCTCAGAGGAGATTCACTAGATTGATTCCAGAGATGAGGGGTTTGTCTCATGAAGAGAGATTGACCAGTTTAGGCCCATACTCTCTGGAGTTTAGAAGAGTGAGAGGAAATCTAGTTGAGGTATGTAAGATGATAAAGGAGTTTGGCAAAGTAGACATAGGGAGGATGTTCCCTCATGTGGGGCAATCTAGAATGAGAGGTAGTAGGAACTGCCGATGCTGGAGTCTGAGATAACAAGGTGTGGAGCTGGAGGAACACAGCAGGTCAGGCAGCATCAGAGGAGCAGGAAAGCTGATGTTTCGGGCGGGTCCAGACCCAAAACGTCAGCTTTCCTGCTCCTCTGATGCTGCCTGACCTGCTGTGTTCCTCCAGCTCCACACCTTGTTATCTAGAACGAGAGGTTATTGTTTTAGGATAAGGGGCAGCAGATTTAAAACAGAGATGAGCAGGAATTACTTCTCTCAAAGGGTCATGAATTGGTGGAATTCACTTCCCCAGAGTGCAGTGGATGCTGAGACATTGAGTAAATTTAAGGAGGAGATAGGTTTTTCAGTAATGGAGTAAAGGGTTATGAAGAGCTGGCAGGAAAGTGGTGTTGAAGCCGAGATGAAATCAGCCATGATCATATTAAATGGCAGAGCAGGCTTGAGGGGCTGAATGACCTACTCCTTCTCCTAGTTCTTATGTTCTTAGAATATTTCCAGTCTTTCTTCTGTAACACTAGTCAACATTTGATGGACAGAGATTCTCTTCTTCCAAGGTCCCCAGACCTTATATCAAGGAGAGTGTACAATAAAACCATAAACATTGACCTCTGTCCCAATGCATAGGAAGCTAGACTGTCATTCAAGGGCTTCAATTTATTTTCATCAATAACATAGATTTCCTCCAAATTTCAATCACTAGTACATCGGATGGACAGATTCAATTTGTACTCCAATGAAAAATTACATTTCTCTTGAAATCCCTACCTCTTCCTGGGACCACAGGATATTGGGCTATGAACACATTTGGAGGGGATTCTTACACATCCTCATCAACAAAGTCTTACCTTGACTGACGTAGAGGTCTCACCAGGTAACGGGTCCCGAAG